GATCCTCAGCTTATTGAGGGTACTCGTGTCTCCCGCATTGAACTTTGGTAATGAGTTGGTGCATATGATCGGTAGGCACCTCATAGTGACTTCAACGGGGTCCTTATGCAGCCCTCTTACGGTCATGCTCCCATCGCCGGATGCAATCGCCTTAACCGATGCTCCATTGTATATATCCGAGTCCTCAGTCTCTTCGAGGACAGCGATATGCGCTCCATCAAGCATAAGAAGGTGCGGCGTGGCGGCCCCTTCTGAGTGCTGACCTGCGCCAATGACGCAGTCGCGGGCCATCGAAACGCAGTAGGGTCCAGTACATTCTCGGAGCATGGTGACGAGTTTTGTCTTTGCGCTGTTCGTCGGGCCATGCATAACGATGAATTGCTTCTCCTTGCTGTGCCCAGTGATGCCATACCCGAGTGTCATTTGCATAACGGGAACTATGTCCTCGGTCAGCACCTCAGCCATGAATTGATCGATGAGCGGCGATGGGTAACTGGCACCCTCATAAAGGGTGTCAATCTCCTTTGAGAGCATATTGCTTGGATGGTGAGCAACGAGCTCCCCCGTTCGGAGGTCGATGGAGCCACATGTGGTGTTCAAGTAGTCCCGATTGGCATTCAGCGAGCTTGCAAAATCCCGCACACGTAAATTCACTTTCAGAGGAATGAGACACCTGTGGGCGATGGGGACAGACTCGACTTCCGCCCCATGCCACACCGGTGCGGGTGTCTTCTTCAACTCCATCTTGAAGTTTGCGATGATAGCCTTCTCTGCCTTTTCGATGCCCTTCAAGATGTCTTTCTTGGTCTTGTCTTGCACTTTGCGAGGCCCGGGATTGAAGTTCGTTCAAAGCAATGTCTCTGCGAGTCGAAAGCTGTTCAAACTTCTCGTCAAAAGCCCGTTCAAGGCGATCGCACCAAAACGATTTGACCCGCCCCATGTGGTACATGAACGAGGTCTTCAGCAGAGCTGCCTCCATATCGGAGGGCACCTAACTCGTTGCATCCCACGTCCAGAATCTCCCCGAGTCGTACACCACCCGCCTGTCATGCTCGAACAGTTTGCTGAATATCAGAGCACTTCCGAAATCGCTCTTGCCCACGTTGGACAACATGAATGGGTTGGAAAATCTAGCGGCCAGCTTATTGAGGCTCGACGGCTGATGGTCCTTGGGTCCAAAAGCACCACCCCCAGCTTGCTCGAGAGCACCGGCTATCGTGAGACGCCCCAGCAGCTTCGGCTTGCTTCCACAACAACCGGACCCGAAGCAATTGTAATAAAGCTCCTGGAAGTCACCGGTGCACCCTTGAATTACCGTGAAATTATTGGACCCTCTGTGCATTTTTCCCAGGTAGCACTGGCGTGGACCATTGACCCTGAACTGAAACGATCTGTTGCCATCCGGTAAGACCGTCGAGCCGGTATAGAAGGAACACCAATCCTTTGCCTTCTCCCTTACCAATTGCTTGACTTCCACGTGCGCCAAAAACGGAGCCGCCTTGGCTGCAGGGCCGCCAGCCTTTGCGTCGTCGACGGCCTTTGGCACGACCTCCTCGGAATCGGCTTCCTTATGGTGAGGCACTCGGCCGTTTGCATTTCTCGAGACCCCTTCCGAGGCGCGCCCTCGGTTGATCAGGCTCACAAGCCACGGGGGCATACCATTGATCTTACCATTGCCTCCGGTCACCCACGTGTACTCGCAACATGTATCCGTGCCTTCCCCGTACCTGCTCGGGGGTGCAAAAATCACCCCTCCGGTGCCGCGGCCGTCGACGCCAAACTTTTCCCCATCGAGCGTGAGTCCAGCAAAATTGGTAGTTTTGTGCAAGCCGGTGGTTTTATCGAGCCGAAAGTAGTAGTGAAGCCCTCCAGACCCCGTGCGAACGGAAAGAGTCTCAGGCTCCCCATGCTCCATCACTTGCCCGTGCCAGAATTCCATTCCCGATTTTTTATCGCTGCTCTCTCCCACATCGATATCTATGACAAACAAACCGCTCGTGCCGGTCAGTATGGCCACTCCGTTGGGTTTTTCAAATGCATCGAGAACTGCGCCGATGTGTTCCTCCCAATCTCCCACGGTGACGATGTGCTTGTAAGTGGGAGGGAACTGGCTCCGCTTCTTGGCACGAGCATCGATCTTGATGTGCACCGGGATCCCATACAATCCGTGGTCAGCAAGGCGTAGAATCTCATCTCTGATGCTCAAACCGTTGGACGTAGGCCTGAGGTCTAACGTGCCCTGGGTTGCCGCATCCTCCTTGTCAGGAGGCAGAGCCTCTGAGGTCCTGATTCCAGGCGCGTCGATGGTGTGCTCGAGAGCGCGAGAGTTGTTGTTGGCTTCCATGCCTTAGGATCTCCCGAGATAAAAATCGTCGCACGAACGCGGACGGACTGGGATTTTTTTTCGTTCGTAACTTCAACGGGCGAATGGCCGATCATACCATCGACGAATTGAGCTACACCAACCAGCTGCGCACGTGTCCTTTGCGTGACCTGCAAAACGAAAAGGCGTTACATCGAGAAAAACCCCGGCAAGCACAGCGAACATGTCAAAGATTACTACATTCGGAACCGAAACGACATCCTGTTGACCAAGGCTTTCGAAAGGTACAAAAGCGGCATAAGAACTCAACAAAGGACCCTCGACAGGTTGCTTGCGGCCGGTTACCCTGTGGCGGGATCTAGAATCCCTGAAAGCCAACAAGAAGGAGACAACCTGCTGAGATTTGTCAGCGACGGGTTGATCGAGGTCACTTAGCTGCGCTTTCTCTCGTAGCTACGCATCTGAGTTGACACGCTGTGCAGCATTCGGCCAGCAACGGACTGTCTATCGGAAAGAGAGGCGTCTTTGTTGTAGCAGTCGGTCACAAATACGTGCCTCAAGTGATTGGTCGTGAGATGACGGCCCCTGGAAAACGGGATCTCTCGAACGAATTGCGTCCAATAGTCGTCACCCATGGGTTGCCCGAGGTCGCTCAGCAATGTTATGAAATAACCCCTGGGAACGAGCTCGAGCGAACGTTGTATATAATGAGACAATCTCTTCGGCAACTCGAACTACTGCTGACCGTATTTCTTGGCCGTTTTGAACGTCTTCAGGACCAAGACATACGTTTCGGCGGCTTTCTCAACCAGTTCATTACCAAACTTGTCATACATGGCCTTCGCTGCTTCATTATGAAAGGTGCCGTCCAATTTCCGAATCGGAAGGTTGCACCAATCACGCCGTTTGGGAGGCTCGAGAACGTTTGCCGCCAGCACGAGGTGCTGGAACACTACCTTCACCTCGTCCCTCACGAGCAGCTTTTTGCTCGCGCGGAACTCAGGAAGGAGCTGTCGTCTTATGCGCCGTCCTAACTCCTCCATTTTATCCTTGACCTCTTGCATGTGGATCCAATTGACCTCCTCATTTTCCGTCGCTTTCTGAGACCCGGCCCTACAGAGTTGCACATTTTTTGCGAGCACAAAGCGTAGGTAGTATTGCTTGTAAACCTACATCCACCCTTGCTGCTTTGACAGGGTCATCAACGGGGTGTATTTGTTGCACAGCGACCCCTTGTTTGGATACTTTTTCTCCAGCAAGTCAATGAGCAGGTCAGCATCGTCGCGGACCCACTCAATGTTGGGAGGCATAACCGTTCCTCGATTCAGCAGCTTATACATCACAATCAAGCTCTTCATGTACTGTTCGCAGGTTGTCGAGGCCCTTGCGATGCCGTCATTTAGTAGGTTATGACAGAAGGTTTCGCCACATATCACCCTTTTAACGTCCTCCTCGTTTGCCGGTGCTGACTGGTTAGCTGCCATGGGACGATACTCTTACTTGAGAAAACAATTTTCAGAATACCTCGAAGCAAGTGCCGCGGGTAAGGAAGCCCGATTCCGCGAGGCCTTATTCCAAGGAGTTATAGGCATCTTTTTTGAGTTTTTGAGACACTTAAAATTCCGATCATTCATCGAAGCGCTTTGGGTCTAAAATATCAGCTAAAGTATTTATGATAAATAACAAGGGAGGTATTCTATAAGCCAAGGGAGGCCGTTCGCATTTAATAGTGCATTCTGCTTGACGAGTGGACATTTGACGGGGCATGCTTTTAGTTATCCACAGACAGACTCCGAAAACGCATCAGGGGGAGCCGCTTTCACGCCGAACCCTGATGCGTTTTTATCATGCCATTGAATATGGAGGATCAGCCGCTCAGAGACAAGAGAAATCGACGATCATTCAAGATTGTGAAGGCACTTGATGCAAAGTGTTCGAATCAATCCAGCAAGCTGGATAATTCGCGGCTCGAGATCGATGCTGAGCGCGGGCGAGTCGTCCAGGCAGGTTGCAGAGCAGGAAGCGCTTTATATCGACAACTCAAGGCAAATGCCCCCAGGTCAGCAACCCTTCCATTCACGGTATATGTTTTGCTGATGGAGACAACGAGAGGCAGCAAACACAAAGAGTACGCATACCATGTATCTCTGCATGCATTGCCAGAGAACCAAAGGCCTCAGGATATGCATTTTGAGGGGTCTTATAGGACGAGCGCTACGAAGCTCTCAATCGAAGATTTCGAGGCTTTGACTCCACAAGCAAACCGAAGGAAGTCAAAAGCGATGACGACTCCTAAAGCGCTCAAAATGCCACCAAAATCTAAGAGCTCCCGACGACGACGCCGAGCGCCCCCAGTCACCGACGATTACGATTCATCATCATCGGGCTATTAGAATCGGTCGAACATCGTTCGGACTTACGAACGGGGGACGGGGCATGGGTGCTAACCCGTAACATCAATTGCCTTCTGCTTACATAGATAGGCCTGCTTGCATTTAGCAGGGTTTGCTAGCACCTCGAGCATGGGGACTGTCCCGCGGTCTCCATCAAAAATAAAGCGCGCTCCGCCATCCGCCGTCGCATGCTTCTGTTTGCTGTGAATTGCTCTAGCGCCAGATGATTGGGTGGAGTGCTTTAAAACGCCTCTCCACTCGACAGAGAGATGGTGGGGATCGCGGCACCTACGAACTTGAACTCCGGCTTTTTCGAGCCCAAAGCGTACAACCTTGACCAGGTCGCGCATGGAGTAGGGGGGGAGAAATCCTTTTAATCCGGCAATTTTGCCTACCTTTAAAATCATGCTCGTGCCTCGTTCCTCGTCATAAGTGCGTTTGATTCGGTTTACAGCTTTATCGAGGCATTCATTGTAATACTCTTCGATCTGGGTGGACCTCCTCGCCTGAGATTCGACGATGCTCTGCATAGCGCATGTTACTTGTCGCCAAATAAAAAAGATCAGTCACATGCCATCTGCTTTCAGAGATGTAGCACACATCAATCAGCTGACTCCGTTCACCACTTGACTCCTTAAATGTATACTCAATCGTCTCATGTATTGTTGCATCTACACTGGCTAACTATGACGGGATCACGATGAGCGCGACGTCCGCCTCTGAGCTGCTTGGTGTATTCCCATACTGATCATGCAACTCCTTCCCGAGGGCCGGTTGGAAGACGTGCGGCCCTACGAACTTGTTATTGCTCGTCTTGCTCAAGAGAAAGTCGAGGCCCAGCCCGATGGAGATGACCTTCTTGACAACGTTCCGCTTCAGGTTCGGCGTCAGCTTGTCCAGCGCAGCCTTCTGTCTTATCCCATAGTCGCCGCGCACCTTCGCGAGCCTCTCTTGGCTCGCGCCGATCTTCGCCGTATAGACGGCTTGGATTGAAGACTCCGTGACCTCGTAGTTGTCAAGTGCCCCGTCGAGCGGTTCTTCTTCCGAGCCCTTCACGCCCATGAGGTCCGCCAGCACATCACGAGCAAAAAGCACCTTGTTCTGAGGCCTGTCCCGCTCCGCAATATAGTCTTGAGTGACGCCCACCGCATCGGCTTCCTTCAGCGGAATGCAAAACCCCACAGCGATCTGGTCGCGGGTGAGCTCGCGGAACCTGTGAGAGGCAATAGTAAAAGCATCGATTGAATGTTTCGGCGATAATCCTTGCAAGGACAAAGCTTCCACCGGACAACCAATCAAACGCCATCAGCTCAGTGGAAAAGCTGCCCCCTTGAGTCATTGCTTACCTCATGTAATTCCCATACATGTCGCGGCTCTTGTTGTCCTCCGCACAGAACTCGTCGAAGAAGTCGAAGTCGACCAGTGCGGGGTCGACCTTGTAAAACTCATGGATCGCCTCGTATAGCTTGATTTGCTTCAGTTCGCGTAAGCCAACGTCCTGCAACTCCTCCAGCACCTTGAGGTGCGAGTATTGGTCCCCGCGAACCACGTACTTGTCTCGCCACTCCTCAGCCGTCAGCTCTGCATCGGGATCGCAAGCCTCCGGTGGAGCATGTTCGGTCTCCACAAACGGTGCTCCCTTCTCGATGACCGTCAGCCCCTGCTTCTGCAGATCCTCCGTCATTATCTTCAGATAGTGGCGGATGCTGTCGCACCGAGCGAGCACGTTGTTGGCGTACAACACGCATGTAGCAGACTCCCGGTTGCATATCGCCCGCTTGCCGCGTCGCTTGACCAGAAAGTCGAGGTGGTCGGTGGAACCCAGCATTCTGCAGAGCTCCTCGTTGCCGTCCTCGATCGCTCGGAAGACGTCTTCCTTCGTCGTGGGCAAGCACGCCGGCTGGCAGTCGCGCGGGTTATCGGCGCTGAGGAATATGTCCATGGGCCCCGCGATGCGAAGCCGAAAGAGCATCTGGATAAAGGCGAACACGTCCGGGTGGAAGGAGCTGTTGTAAGCGAGCGCCACGACCATATCGTACCAAGGCCTCTCCACTGATACTCCCGGGCCTATGACCGACGTGTGGGTTATCAAATCCGCCAGCATGTGCACGTCCGGTTCCGCCACGGCTTGAAACAGACGCTTCTTGTCCTCCGGAGACTTCTGCGCGCCGTGGAATGCCTTCAAATCCTTCGATGGCCCGAATTCTGAAGCGGCGGCCTCCGTCAGCTGCTTCACGTAGCGCAGGCTAGCCGAGGGTGCCTGTAGCATATGCGACCAAGGCTAGAGCTCTGACTCCGAGCGACCGGCCACACGAATTGCAACCTAGCACGTGGCCATCCGCCTCCCTCCTCCTGCCAAAGACTCAGCAGTAGATTTTTGCAATCTATATAGTCCTATAGTCTATATGATTAGTTGCAAAAATCTTCTGATCTTTTGGGACTCACCCCGACTTTCTTGCCGCTCTTCAGGAGTTCCAGGGTCCGCGCGACGGCTGGGGCACACGTGAGCTCTATCTTTTTCAACTTCGGTAGGCGCCAGATGGTGGCCGTCCTCCCCAGCTGGCTCGAGTGGACGCCGGCGTTCCGGATCGAGTACAACTCACTGTCCGGGCGCACCATGTACATCCACTCCAGGACCCTCGGACAGTCGATGTGTGCGTCCATCGCTATGAGGATGCTGGCGTTCCCCATGATGCGCTCGGCGGCCATGAAGACATGTTTCCGGTTCTTCATCACGTCGTAGTTGCAATTGGCGAGCACCATGTCCGCCTTGTCGACGAGGACTATCGCGGGGCTGGAACGCACTCGGTGGAGCGAGTTGATGCAGCAGATGACCCTCGGCTGTTTGATGTCACCACCCGGTGCGTCCAGGTAGTTGACGAACAGATCGAGGCCAAACAGGTCGAGGCCCGCTCGCGTCTTGCGTTCGCATTTGATCCGCAGGTCCGACTCGCACTTCTTCGCAAGGGCAATGTTGGCAGCAATGATGACGACCCCCGCGCCCTCGTTTTGCTGCAGCATCTTCCATAGCCAATCATAGCTCGCCTTCGACTTGCCTATCCCCTTGTTGGCTGTCACCAAGACAGTGTGCTTCGGGGCCCCTCTCTTGATGTCAAACAGGGGGTAAGGCCGCATGCCGCTCGAATCCGTATAGTCTTCAGACCACCCGGGTATCTGGTGGACTTGCAGCTGCAATCGCCGCACGGTACCACTGCATGGAGAGACCGAGCGGTTCAATTGGGAGTTGCCACTTGGCGTGCGGTCCTCTATCAATCTACCGGCTGACGGTCACCCAGTAGATTTTTGCAAGGTATATAGTCCTAAAGATATAGAGTATAGTCGGCGGCAAGAATCTACTGATTCCAAGTTCCCGCACCGCGTCAGTCCTAGCTAGAGAAGGGCGCGTGCCAGCTGGCGGTATGCTCGCGCAGAGTTCGCAGAGAGTCAGGAGTTGCGAGCTAGCGCGCGGTGCTCCACCATCCCTTCCGGCCGACGGTCACCCAGTAGATTTTTGCAAGGTATATAGTCCTAAAGATATAGAGTATAGTCGCAAGAATCTACTGATTCCAAGCTGCTAGTGCACCGGTCGCTTGCCAGCCGGCGGCGACCAGCAAGCTCACCTGCACCGCGCGGAGTGGCACTTGTAAAACGCCACCGTCGGATCGCTCCGCCTGTAAACAAGGTACCCTCCGTTGTTGCCGTCGCTGTCGTGCGCAGCCCCAAGGATGCGGCACATCGGCTGCTGGATGCGGAAGTGAAGGGTGAAGACGTCGGTCGCCACCTGCAGAGTGGTCCGGATCTCCGCCCCGGGATGGTCCTCCCTGTAAACGCTCGTCAGGCGCTCCAACTCATGCGCGGTCAGGGGCGTGCCTACCGCTTCGTCCCGAGCGCCATTCTCGCCTGCCCCTCCCTCCACCGGAACCCGGGTCGTATGGCGGCGGGGGATCTCGCACCGTTCCCCCGCGTCCACCCCGATCTTCTGGTTGTACCGCTCCAGCACTCCGACGTCGATCTTCTTCAGAGACGCGAGCTCCTCCGCCGAGTAGATGCCCACCAGGTGGTCCAGCAGCTGCGGGGAGCTTCCCTCGACGGGCAACAGGGGACGGTCCCCTCTTCCGCGAATAGAGCATCCGAAAGCACTTGAACTTGGCGAACACAGAGGGGTCCCAGATCAGCTTGGGGCCTCTCTGGGGGTCGGGCGTATGCCAGAGGAACTCGTCGCAGTGGTGGAGATGCGCGGGGAGGTGCTTCTGAAAGTGCTCAAAGGCCTTCTTGAACTCGTTGCGGGCGTGAAAGTCCTCGAGGTAGTACCCGCACAGAAGCTCGTGGACGCTCCACTTGAAGCCGCCGTCGGCCGCGTCCCCGTGCGCCTCGCTGGCCTCGAACCGGATGCACTCGGGCGGGATGCCCAGCACGTCCACCAGGAAGGCGTCCCTCACTTCGTCCAGATGTCTCTTGTACCGCTCGAAGTCCCCTTCCACCCTGCTTGCCGTCCGCAGATCAATGTCCGCGTACAGCTTGGTCGGCAGGCCTTCGGTCAAGCCCTCGTACAGATTGGGGTGGCCGAGGCCCGTCTTCTGGCGGCGCGCGACGTAGTCCTGCAGGGCGGACGGGTCGCGGATGCTGCAGTACTTTTTCGCCCCCGAGTGCTTCGACACGTCGCAGACGATCAAGATACGGTCTTCGCCAGCCGCCATCGCCCGTCGGCACTGCTCCAGCGGCTTTTCCGTGGTGAACCAAGACTGCCCCGCAGCGTCGGTCTCAGGTGGGGACTGCACGCACCTGCTCACGTCCTCACGCTTGCTGTCGGTTGCCGCACAGTCATCGACATCTGCGGAGCGCCCCATTGTATCCTCGACGCTGTCGCCCCTTGCGTCGGACGGCGGCTGCTGCAAAAAGTCGAAGCGACCTTTGAACGTCCATGTGCACCAGGCCAGCAACTCAGTAGCTGTTGCTTCTACCTGCTTGGAAGTGCGTAACACTTGAGATGGCGATGGCACCTTCGATGCTTGGAAAGCAGGTGTAGGCTCAGGGGATCCCAGGCTTAGGGGGTCCCCAGCCATGCTTTTAATGAACCCTGAAAGTCCCCGCACATGTTGCTCTCATGGGTTGACAGAGTACTCAATGAACCTCATTCAACATATAAGTAAAAACGGTTTGATTTGGGGGCCAGCAGGGAGTGCGCCCGATCAACAAGGGGGACTAACTGTCCTGCTGACTGGGTCCATAAGCCTTCACTCCTGGGCAAGGACCCCGGCCGGCGCCAGGATTTGCGACCTAGCGTGCGGTCCTCTACCGTTTCTTCTCCCGCCAAAGACTCATCAGTCGATTTTTGCAATCTATATAGTCCTTTAGATATAGTGATTAGTCGCAAAAATCTACTGATTTTTTGAGAATCCGATGCCTCTCGCGCTCGAGCACAAAGCGAGCCTCCTACCTCGGGGGTTTCTTTCTGCGTGACAAGCCAGTCCCGCAGCATTGATCGCTCCTGCTTGATCGAAGTCGTTCTGTCGGCTCCGATGCCGGCGGCCAGGTCCCCCATGCAGCTGATCAAAGGACCGGGCTTGCTGACGGGGCCGGTGCGCATGACCTCGATCTTCGCTGCTCTTTGCACCTTGTAGGCGCGGAGGCCCTCTCTGTTGTTGGCCATCAGCTCCGCGGCCTTTTCGCTCATGGCGGGAGTATGCTCGACTTGCGGGTGTGCGCGTCTGTGGAAGAGTGTGACGGATTGTCAGAAAGACCTATTTTGTGAGACATGATAATTAGGAAGATACGAACAAAGGGCCGGATTCAAAGACTGTTTAGACAAGTTTGATTCTTTTTAGATTAATCTACAAAATCAACCAGATGGTTGACTTTGCTAACATGTCCTTTCGGAATAAACATGCCCCATAAAGGAAGCCGTAAGTACTAACGGTCGGCTTTTTGGGGTTAGACGCTTCACCTGCCTTGCTCCTGGCCTGGCCGGGTCCTCCAGTTGACTTCGACTCGCGGCAGAACCTGCAGGTATGGTGGGATTGCGCTCAGAAAACATGCGTGGAGCGCCTCATGTGCCACGAGTGCGTGGGCAAAGCCCACGAGGAAGCGATGATGGCGGGTATTTGAGGTTCAGCAGGTCTATAGAGCGGTTGAGGGTTCCCAGGACGGTCTGTGCGTTCAAGGCCAGTCGGACATTTCCGTTGGTGAACATACATATTGATGACAGAGTCTGTGGAAAAGGTGAAGCTCGCAAAGGCAGCAAAGGCAAAAGCTGCTTGAGTGCTTAAAGCAGAGCAGAGGACCAAGGCTATGATCGCATTGGCGGAGAAGAGAGGCAAGCTGGATGGCGAGGAGGTCCGACGAGAATGTAGGGAGCAAGACGAAGCTTCACAGACTCGCCGTCAAATGTGGGCACAGGTGAGGGGAAAGCTTTCCGTCGTCTTATTTCTGAGCGTTTATTGCAGGCGATGCATGCCTCACCGTCTTCGCTGATCGTGTGGACGTCAGGCACTCCTGCAACGTGCTCTGCTTCAGGGTGTCTTTTGGTTTAGGGGGCGGCTTTTCCCGGATGATGTTGCCGGTGTCCATAGAGACAAAGTGCCGAGCGTCGGATGCCGCCTCCGACTCGCGGCGCTCGGTCTCTATTTCCTCCCGCGATCTGAGGGGAGCTTTCGGTTCGCGTCTCTGATGAGCTCGAACGGCCTTCAGCTCGGCCTTGTTCCGAGCCATGAAGGATGCCGCATCTTCTCTCATCATGGGGGTGTGCCCGGCACTGGAGTGGTTGCAGTTTGCCTGTTGAATGCAATCCTATAGGTCAGTGCCGCAGTGCAGAAAGAGCGAGGCCTGCTTGCAACAGACTCGTGTGGGTTTACAAGATGCACGAGCAGCTTGGCGATCGGAGAGGAGGCGGGCGAAGGCCTAGCAAAGCGCCCCTACCTGCTGCGTTTTGGGGCGGGGAGCTGGGTGACGGTGCTGCCTTCCTCGTCCGAGCATGTTGCTCTCAGGATATCTTCACCATCGCCCCCCTGCAAGCGAGGAGCGTGACAGGCGCGAGTAAACCTCACGGATGATGGGATCTTGCGGTGGCGGGGGCGATAGCGCTTTGCAGGAGAGGGGTTGCTGGAAGTTTGGGGGCAGAGGGGGCGATAGCGCTTTGCTAGGGCTTCGCCCCGCCCCCAAAACGAAGCGTCATTGGAGTCGGGGTATCCACGAGCATCGGACCCGGAGCTCACCAAAGGCTGTGGATGGCCGCCATCCGGAGTCTCGGAGGTGCCCGCCCCGGGGGTCCCTTCTCGGAGCGGTGGATTGCTGGAGGCCGGCGCAACCTGGGAGGCGTGGGGTTCCAAAAACATCAGTCGATTCTTGCGAACAACTCTATAGACTATAGGACTATATAGATTGCAAAAATCTACTGATGAGTCTCTGGTTGGAGGAGGAAGGAGCAGGACCACGCGCTAGCTCGCAAGGCCAGCCAAGAGGCTCCAAAGGCATTCAATTCACAGGACTTGCAAACAGCAGCTGTCAGCCCTTCGGACGGGTGCGTCATTATTGATACATCCTTCAAGTGCTCAAGAGTTCGCAGCATGCCATCACTAAATAGCTCACCGAAGGCTGTGGAGGGCCGCCAGCTGGAGTCGCGGAGGTGCCCGCCCCGGGGGGCCCCTCTCGGAATGGCAGAAGGCCAGAACATGGCACGACCTGGAAGACATGGGGTTTCCAAAAAATCAGTAGATTTTTGCGAACAACTCTATAGACCATAGGACTATATAGATTGCAAAAATCTACTGATGAGTCTCTGGTTGGAGGAGGGAGGAGCAAAACCATGCGCTAGCTCGCAAATCCCGTCTAGAGCCTAGGCTCGGACGAAACTCCAAAGGCATCCCGCGCAACTCGCAAACAACGGCTGCCAATCCTTTGGAAGGACCGTGCATCAATCATTGATGGATGGTTGGAAGGCAACGCCGGATCTCAGGAAAAGCTCACATCCGCCTCTTGCATCCTACCGCCGTCTGACGAGTCCAGACTGCCTGTGGAGGATCCCTGGGAGAGGGATGCACTGTTGCAGGATGATGATGGGGAGACCGCAGCCATGATCTGAAAGGATGTGCAACTGACTTAGTATGTGCAGTGGGCTTGGAACTGTGGCTCAGGCGCACCAAATTCTGAAGTGGAGCTGAGAAACATGAGCATGACCGGAGCCGGCCTTGTGATGGAGCTGAGACCTATCGCAAACCCTGGGTTGACGACAGCTGAGTTGATGAGCTCTTGCAGCTCACCTGGTTAGTCAAGAGGCGAGCGCTCGTTTCTTCCGCAGCATCATGGTGAGCCTCTACGGTCGGAATCACTGATAGACGCAAATTCTTTTGGAACTCCGCAAACTGTTCCGCTGAGTGCAAGCCATGGAGCGGTCGTGCTGCCATGCAAGTTGCGATGATCTCTAAGATGCAAAGCTATGAGGCGGGCCGCATGCTGCACTTGCGATGATTTTTTTGTTGCGCCCCTGAGCGCTGCTCGGCAACAAAGTTTGAAGAAAGAGGCGGGAGAGTGCTCAGTTAGAGCACCTTCTCAACCAATCGGAGCCTTCTGGCGGCCCGCCGAGCGTGCCAAGTCAGCTTCGGCGGCCCGCCGGTAATAAAACCGCAACCGCTTTAGAAAGACCGCCGACGCGCAATCGAACGGTCGGGATTCCACGCAATCGGCAACGGACAGTCCCGAAAAGATCAGTCGATTTTTGCAAGTAATCACTATATCTAAAGGATTATATAGTTGACAAAAATCGACTGCGGTGGGTACCGTCGGCCCGCTCTGACAGTGGGGGGCGAACACACGCTTTTTTTTCTCGCAAATTCTGCCCCCGAGGCCGGTTCATCCATTCCACCCCCATGCGATCGAGTACGCTGTCTGGCGGCGACCGTTGTTGAAATTTATCAAGTCATAGCTTGGTCTAGCCTGTGGCTATGACTTAGCATGCACCTGAAATGTGCCCGTTTACTACTCGGAGAAATGCAAAACCATGCTTTAAATGTGGTCGCGCGGTCGCCAAAAGGAAAAAGCATCGCCCCGGTCTTTGGAGGCAATTCTGCATTCACCCCCAGGCTGCAGGGGCGAGACCCGAGACGCCGCTTGAAGCAAACAACCTGGCTCACAGGCCCAAGACTTGCACCCCACCTGCACCACCGGGCCGGGGGGTCCCATCCATGAGGAAAAGCAACCGGGGGCATGCGGACTTGTGTGTTTTCTCGGCGACGGTCGAACCTGGTTCAAAAGTGGGTCTGGCCGCATTTGTGAATAAACCCAGAAGAGTCGAGACCCGCTCCAAGCAAAAGGCACAGGCCCAAGACTTGCACCTCCGGCCCCCGGGGGGTCCCATCCCTGTGGCAAAGCAACCCGGGGCATGCGGACCTGTGCGTTTTCTTGCAGGTACTTACTTTTTTCCAATCATTGGCTGTGTGTATGAGTGTATGAGGCTCTCGGAAAAGTCGGAGGGCCCCGGCCGAACCCATCGGCTCCAGGGTGCACAATTTCCTTTGATGATTTTTTCCCACCTAGCACGTGCGGTCTGGCCATGCATGACGTCATAATACATAGTGCGTTTTAACTAGTGCTCCGACCTCGGCCAGCCTATGGGCGATAATTATTGGACGCAATTCATTCGAGAGATTCCGATTTCCAGGGGCCGCCACCTCACGACGAATCACCTGAGGCACGTATTCGTGACCGATAGATACAACAAAGACGCCTCCCTCTCCGAGGGAGCCTGAGGACCCAGCGGCTATACCCACCATCATCGAGCTGCTCTGCGCGAGTTGCGGGGGGCAGAAGGAGGACGGACGCTTGGAAATCAGGCAAACGGGCTCTCCACAGGTAAGCAAATCGAGCTTGGGTTGTTGGATGCGTCGTCATGAGAGTCGTATTATTGGAAGGCAGTGCTTGTGACAAACATTGATTCGGGAGTGGTGCTCCGATTTAGAGTCTATTGGTGACGCGATACGTCAGTTGGGGTTAAACTAGGGGAACGTCTACAACTTATATGAGGGGCCGTAAAGGAACAAGACGAGTTGAACGCTATACTTTTGAAACCGACAAACTTCACCAAGCAAACCAAGAAGACTTGCCTGGGGAAAAATGAAGAGCGATCAGTACAGAGTCTTCTTTGTCGTATGGGCTCAAACCTGAGACGTTAGAAGGAGTGCTTACAAGCTCGTATGGCAGGATCCATAGCGAGCAGAGGCTGCGTAGTTATGGCTCTGACTAACCAAACCCTAATGGGTGCTACAAGACCGTACGCATATCAACAAAGAGAGTTGTCCGCGCTCTTAGGGTACATGCTCTCGTTTGTCTTGCCTTCCACGGACCTAGACCGTCCCACACCAGACGACCGTCACGGTTGATCACATCGACAGGAACCGAAGCAACAATCGGGCGGAGAATCTGCGTTGGGCAACCAGAGCTGGACAATCAATAAATTCGTCAAGAATAAGCAAGGTTGAACACCTTACGGTGTTGGATACATTTGCAAGTCTTAAGAGTGCCGCCAGCAAAAGCGTGTGGTCTTTGTAGCGAGGCGTCCATAGACATGGGGATTGTTTGGGTACGTCGAGGATATTGAATGGTTCTTCCAGCCCGATCCTTTGACACGGAACATAGCGTTGTAGAAGAACGTCGCGACCATGCCCCTAACTCGGAGGCCGCAGAAGCCATCACGGAAGATTGTACATTTGCAGGATAAGGTGGTTTTAACCGTAGATATCCGTATCGACGGTGCGCAGAACCTCAGTTGGAGTTTCGATGGTGTCCAATCGCGCCGCATGTGTACAAGAATTCGGCTAAAACGTACACTTCCTGTACCAAACCGAACCGCCGTACGCAACGACATTTTTCGACACGCGCGCGCGGCGCGCGGGCAACTTGCCCACCTGTACATCCAAGTCAGAAAATTTACCAGCCCCGTACGGTCGACCGAGTTCTACGGGCAAGCCTCTACGGTCAATGTAGACTCAATTTCCGTTGAACGCGCCTCTGATAACATCCTTGACTTGAAGAGGACACCATTATTTCAAACTCGGCGTAGGTGTCAAGGTATCACCTACTCCGGTTGAATGTTCCGAACTTGGGCTACACTGCTAGAGCCTAGGCCGGTCGAAAACAGCACGGTATACTTTGGACCGGGTAGTTAAGACCGAAGATTTACAGTCTGCAACAATGCCCGGTAATCAAGCCGGTAGCTACATTAGCTCTCGGCCTACAAAGTTGAGGGCCGAGCCGCCCCTAACACCAAGGTTCCGACCTCAGACAGGTGGCAGTCTCTGAATGGATCTTATCCTGCAAACGAATCTTGCTGAAATGCCCCGACCACTTCTCCATCCAGCAACCGGGCGGAGTTAGGGGCATGTCCGCACGCTGCTCCTACAACGCTGTGGAAGTCTTGTCTCCTTAAATTACTTGCATGTGCATCCCTGTCGCACTCGCTTCAGCAGTACGCTCTGGTCCATTGAGATTGAATCTATTGTATGTGGCAACTCGCCTGAAAGCAGCCAAGCTAGTGAGGGACAATGTCTATGTATCGTACCAGTAAAATCAAAACTTTGACTTCGATCAATCTGGTTGACATATGGATGTATGCAGTGTACAATTGCTCTTACAACTCATTAAGATGCGTCGCTCATGAGTGCCGCCATGCTTGCAAAAACAAACAGATAGAGGTTTGCACGATTGGGCCCATGCAAACTGCATTCGACGCAGGTATACATGTGTTGCGTGCATGCCATGCAATCACGTGCGATACGCGGTACCATAACTATAATTTGTCTAGAATATGCATGAATTGCAGCCGTACGCAAATAAAAAATTTGCCATGCGAGTATGACGCACTTTAGAACGTGTAATAGAAGACAGCATGCAAATTGTCCATTGAGACCAGACCATCAGTCTGACCAAGGGCCTCCGAGAATATCAACATACAATTAACTTCAGAATTGTACCAAGTCTCAGAATCGGCCAAAAAGAAGCACCCTTGCTACAACTGCACCATGTTGTCTCAGAATCGACCAAGTAACCATTTCATTCTTTGCAGTATCGACTTGATTATCTGCTCTCTTTCCTCAATGACCTCATGCGACCTAACCATCAAGCAAACTCCGTTCCGCTGAGTCTAGCTTCCTTGTGCAGAGGCACCTTCCGACGTCGACGACCCTGTCCTCATTTGACGCCAGTTTGAATGTTTATTGCCTCGATAGTGTTACCAATGAGCTCTCGGTAAAGTAGCGCTGTTGTACATCCAACAAGTTTCTTCCTGCGGACCGCTTCAGATTGTGATCAAAATCGTTTGTTGGAGAGGCAACTGGCCATACTAGCTTGATTTTCTGGATACTAAGTCGAATTGCCCCTAGAAGGAAGAATGTAGATCAATACGTCTGCTGCGAAGACAAAAAGACCGCTGCCCATATCGTTGTCCATGTACGTTCAATCTTCCTCCTCGACGTCCGGGGTTTCGCCCTGCAAAGCACAAGCAGATCAAAGAAAAAATTGAAAAGGTCTAGAATGCTTCGAGTCGCGCTTCTGAAGCCTCGAAATCCGCTGCACCACTCATGCTGCTGGGATGAGTTGAGGCCATCTGCTTAACACATCGTAGTCTGAGAAGGCTTCGTGCAGGTCCTGTCGTTAGCAAAAGAGACTGACTGTATTTGCTGTAAGGCACCATCTTTATCCAGGGAATGACCACCCACCGCCTCCAATTAGAAGTCAGAAAGCGACTTACTGTTGCACCGCGGATCTCCGTGAGGAAGTTCGGCTCGGCACCCTCTTCATCTCCGTTCCACGTGTCGGGTGCCTGCAACTAAAGACGACTTCTGTCTAGAGAGCAAACGAACGGTATACACTGCATCAAGTTGTGTTCGATCATGCTGATGATGTACACTGTAGACGTGGCCAATCCAACAAAAGGTGTGCCACAGATGCCACTGTCAAGTCAGCAGCGTGATAGTCCTTTACTTGAGTCCTGAAAGAGTCGCTTTCAGGATCTCAACGGGCTAACAAAAAGGACCACTGCATGGGGCAGAGACCAAACCGCCTAGATGGAGGCTCTTCATGCATACGTCTGCCAGGATAGAGTATTCAGGGCTAGAGCATTCAAGGTGCAACAGAACTTCTCTCGTACAGCTGAAGGCGTTATTACGTCGTGGTAAATACTAGGACCTGGGCTCCCCTTCCTGGGAAAAATCAGGAGCGATTCAGACGGATCCGGCAGAGCAATATTCAGACACTTCAGGCCAGAAGAATCCCACAGATTGACCAACCAGCACCAAATAAGGATGTTGCTACCTCTCCGCTGAAGTCGAGCCTTGGGGGTACGATCAGGTCCACGGCGCCGCCGCCCCAGGTCATAAGAATGACGTCATTGTCAGAGGCCGCCGTTTGAACCTCCGGGTCAAACGAGCCAGCGAAGAGCAGGGGGATGAAGCGCGCATCCGCGTACTTGGAGATGTCAATAGAAAAGTCTCTGTACGGACCCTGTAGAACAGGCATTCCGAAATTGTGAATGATTTCGTATTAAGTCTTGGATACATCCTGGAAGCTTTGCGGTATGAAATCGTGGTGCCTCCTGCTGAGCGCCTGAACACTAGCGACGTCCCCACGAACACAAGTCCATTCATGAGGAAGGCAGATGACGAGGACAAGCCTGTGAGCCGCACTCTCTGGTCCACGGAACTGAATCTGTGACAGCCAGGCGCCAATCTGGCGATCCTGCACAAACGTTGCAAGCAATAGACAGGATCCTTGAAAGATTGAAGATGGAGACCTGAATCTGCTTGCAGACCCGACGAAAAGCATAGGTCAATGGGGCATACGGACATTACTGGAGGCTTCCAGAAGCGCAGAGGGTAGCACAAGCTACAAGCGACCCAAGTGTCCTGCTTCGGATGCAATTCACTGAAAGCAGACCCTTCGACCAGGCCACTGTCTTTGAAGCAATGCAGGCAAAACCTGGGCTGTTTCCTGGTGCTTCACCTTGTCTAACACCCTCGATGTGGGGGTTGTCAGCAGCGGATCTTGAGCTCGAAGTCGATCTTGCAGCATGTAGGTCCTTGCCACGTGATTGATGACATCCTATACGGTGCAGAAGGTGGGTATCAAAGACCCTTAAATGTCACACGGTTCAGAACTCTGTCTGTCTGACGCAGTGTTTACTCTGTAGCAGAACGTAGTTACTCCATAACCACCTGACGTGATTAATCCCCACAACCACTCCTCGACACAAGATACTTTCCGCTCTTGGACACGGTCAGCGAAGGCACGAAAGAAGATTCGCACATTGAAGTGCGATTTCAGGGGAGCGGCGACCAATCTACTATAGCTACCCAATCTGATTACGTTGAAGTGAGAAAATACCCATGCTTCCTACATCCTAAAAGAGAAGCGCAAACCCAAACAGGGAACGCTTCTTTGACGAAATCCTAAGAGTAGCAAACGAAGCAGCTTCTGGTAAGTTTCCTACAGGTACTAACCATCCATCTCGTTGGCAAAGCTGTGAATCACCTCCAGGGTCGCATACTGTTTAGCCTCCGCCGCAATCACCGCCCTCAAGCCCCCCGGGAAACCAACAGGTGTAATTGCGTCAACCTCCTGCTCAGGGTACTTCCTCTTGCCATCTGTCCAGGGGCGGAGATGCATGCGGTGGGCGACTGGCATGGGCCGCCCTTCCGCTGCCACGACGGGCCCACTCCTGTCGACGCGCCCCCTTCGCCCGCGCATCGTGCTGTCCAATAGCAAATCACGCTCCAAGAAAGACCCGCCAGTAGCCCTGTTCAGTCTGAGGAGGGCCTGCAAAAGGATAACCATGGAGTTGTCTGTCAACCTGAGAGGACACCGATGCAGCAAACACAGCCAAAGGGAGAGGACTGATTTGATCCCTAACAGAAAAAGTGAGCTCTTGTGTTATGCTGAGAAAGACCTGTCGCAAAATGACTCAGGACAACCACATCAGCACAAGCACAAGGAGAAGCTTGACAGAAACAGCCTCGATGTTGGGGTAAAAAAGTGCGAAAGCTGAAGTTGGTGCAATCGACATCCTGCTCATTAGGTGGAGACATAATTCCTACTCTAGCCCAGCGCAGACAGGCAGGCAGTGCTGCAGTCAATTGCATCCCGCTTGTGCTGCTTGCTTTGCGTGAAGGCCTTACTTTCGAAAGCTGGATTATCAGGGTGTCTGCTCAACCACCATCGGCTCGCAATCAAAACTTTTGATCTGACCAGCCTTATCTTGATCTGACCAGCCTTATTCTAAGAAGTGTTGTTTTAACAGAAACCTTGGCAAGATCCTGCCAAAACCAGGAGGTAATGGTTCGATCCTGCCCGTGAGCTCAAAATTACTTGCTATTGAAAAACAGCGCCTAAACAAGCGAAAGCCAGTGGGCTTATGGGCCTAAGATGACAAATGTTAGAAGAAGTTGCTCGGTGATCCATTTGCTAAAGATCTGATGCCTCCTGCTCTCTGTTTAGATTCATATGACATCAGAAAGTGGACAGCCAGTACATTACAAAATCTTGTGTCCCTACCTGCGTCATGCTGCGGTCACTGTCCACCTGGCTAAGTGTTTCCACATCCCGCCGGAGCACCTCGTAGCGTGCAATGCCCTCATCCCCCGTGTACCTATGTCCGTCCTGCAGGTCCCAAAAGTGGACCACATACTTCCTTGCCTCCTCGACCGACTCGTCCAGGTCGATTAGGTATTGCCCTCCGTCGATCAGCTTGTCAAGGCCCGCCTGGCCAAAGACTTTGACCATTTCCGCGACGTTGCCGGGTCTCACAATCATGATTCTTTTTGGCAGATTGATTGCTTGCTCCACTTTCGATCGCAGGAGGTCACTATTCAAAAAGCGCGCCCAATCAGCTGGCCGCATTCGGAGGAATTCCTGAGGATCTAGAATTTTGAGGGGGGAGTAGGCGACACTGGCGCGGTCAACTATGGCACCAAACTCTTCGGTACTCATCCCACTGTGCACTTCGTGGAATGAGGAGACTGGGAGCCCTGCAACGGAAAAACACCCTGTTAATGTTGCTTCAGAATAAGCAGCTTTCACCATTCTCAGATTCAGTCTGGTAGTGCTTCTGCTCCACTCAGCTTCACCACTAGCACCCGTCAATATTCTTTAGATACAACCTCCCTAGTCTTTGCCTTCTAGGACTAAGAAATGCTCATCAAGTGACAACAAGAGCAACCATTCACCTGGAGTTGTTACCATGCCATTGGCTGCGAGACTTTGGATTGAAAGGGGCTTGATAGGACCAACCCACATGAAGCACTTGAGAATCTCAATTGATCCTGGACTGGCTGGTACACAACACTTGGAAACACTCAATGCTGTGCTCTGGTTGTGTCCAGCTTATTCCCACAGAAGTCGGCTAAATTCTTTTCGATCCTTGCATGCAGGCTTGAAGGGATCTTGTGAACATCGACATACGAAAGGCAGCACCAATCAAATAAGCAACAACAAGAACTCCTGAGACTGGACTGAGAAGCGACTCCAAGCTCATCTTACTTCGCACAAGGTCTTCCACATAGCTGTAGACCCGAGCTTGCGTGGTGGTGTCCAGGCCCCAGGATTTCAAATCACTGACGCGTAGCTGATACATGTTATTGCCAGCCAAGCCCGCATTCTCGACCTTCTCCTTCAGAGACAAAACCCCTGTCTTTTGAACCAGGTAATCCCCTAGCTCAGAACTTGACCATGTGGCAGGATCCCCAAGGTCTGGGCTCAAGATCGCGCGAGGCCCAAACCCTCCTGCCTTTGAACTTTTCAGAAAACCTCCTGTATGCTGAAAATGGGATGGCTTGGACCCTAGCGCCAGAACGAGGGTCGGAGGTGTGAGAGGGCCGCGCGGGATTTGTGAGCTGTAAGACACACGAGAGTGTAGCTCTCGGAGATTCCGGGCAGCATCCACCTGTGATCGGGGTGCAGTGACCCTCTGCAAGCTAGGCAAGCCCCCGAAGCTCACGCTTGCGGCAGCCATTGCCGCTTGCGTCGCAGCGGCATCTGCCCTAGGTCGGTGTATCGTGCAGCTCTCATGCAGCGCGCTGCCTCGTGCACTGGCTGGGTACTCCCAACTCCCACTCGAGCGAGGTCTCGCTGCGGCGACCTCGAGTCAAGTGGGACCTCGTGGCACAGGCGACACGGTGCAGGTGAGGCGTTAATGGTGTTTTATGGCCTGTGGGAACGGTTATTTCCCATGTTGGATCTGCGAATTTGATGGTCTTGACTCGACACTTTCTTCTACATATACCTTAACCTTGTCAGAACCAATTATAACTGGTCATTTTAACCGCTTTTACCAAGGGTTAGGTCTAGGCTCAAAACAACCCAATTTGTCCAAACAAGGTTAGCTTTACTAGGTTAAATACGTATCGCACATACCAGTTATAAGCGGTTCTGAGAACCCACCTACCTCCCTAACAGCACAGCCCTAAAGGCCTCGCTCCACAGCCTCGCCGGCACGGCTATGGACAACTTGGCGTCGTCCACCCTGCTCAAGTCGATATTGCAGACTTCTTCGTCAATCCAAAGCTGGTGTTGCACGTTGATCATCCTGCTGGATCGAGGCGACGCCCGGCAGATCTCAGCGGCTTCCGGCAATGGCGAGCAAGGGCTCGAGCAGGAAGAGCAAGGGCCAGCCTGAGTAGCAGCGGGCCTGAGCCGCACAATGGGCTGGCAGGCTGCAGCTGTGAAGGCTGCCTGAGGATGGCAGAAACCAGCAGCCGCATGGCCGACCGGGATCCTTTCAATGTCCGCTTTTCTCAGATGCGGCAGAAGTTGGAAAAGGTGAGATCTTCCTCAATCATCGTCAGACCCGGCCGCCATGGCTCCGCCGGATAATCTCAATGATAAGGCAAGGATAGAGACCAATCAAGGTGGCTCGGAGGACCTTGGTGGAAGAGAACGATGATTGTACACGCTGCCAAGCGGCACGACCCATCTTTGTATCACGGTATGGTTGCCACAACATTTGCTTGATACCTTGAGGGGATTAGGAGTTGTTTGAGAGGATGGGTGATTGGAATCGACGCCTTTTTGTTGGTGCAACAATTCTGATTTGTGGGCAGTCCGTCAGACAGGACTGCCAAGTGATGATCTTTGATGTTGCTTTGCGAGACTTTTATGTAGTGTTTTGATAGGTTTGAGAAGGGCCTCCTGTCCTTGCTTAGTTTGCAATGTTTGGTGATCATATTGGTATATAAAGGGCGGGAACGAGGACTGTTTTGACATGTTCTCTTTTCTGTTTTCTGGTTTATGAGAAATCTGGAATGCCAGTAGGACCGCTGTTTGACGCCTTTGAGGTAGGGTTTTTAGTGAGATTTGGACCAAGATGATTGGTAGGAGAACTGTATGCCTCGATCCTTTAGTTACGAGAGCTTCTTCACGCGGGACGGGACCATAGTAGAAGCTTTTTGCTGGATCATCAATTCTGATTTTCTGCATCGGCAATGCAGAGCAGCAGATTGGCTTGTGCCGTGACACCTTGCCTCGTTGTTTTGGGACTCTTAAAACGTGCTTGAGGGCAGCCCATACAAGGACAGCAGAGCCACTGATTGGGTGATTGTCCCTGAGGGGTTCGGACGTGAGGCACAAGCAACCTGGGATTTCTTTTTTGTTCGCGGTAGATTCTTCGTTATCTGTTTGAGTCGAGCGCGGCGGTGAATTTTCGAATTACCGCCGGCGAGTCGTACGGCGGTTTTGGGTTCAGTGTAAAATTTCGGGACTTAGCCGTTTTCGGAGGTCAAAGTCGCCCGGACACGGGGCAAAAGTCAAAATCTGGCCGAAAAGCTACCATAAGTCGGTCGAAAAAAATATTTGGACCAAACCCTCCGGTCAATCTCTTGTATACGCCCACTACATTGTCCGGCCGGTTGTCAAATAGCGCACTACGATTTGCCCGGGGCCCGCAAGATACGGGGCTGTTCATCCAGCGGGGCCACGTCAAATGTACGGAATTGAACTGGCCAATGAAACAGGGGTGGTACATTTACCACGTGGGTTGGTATAGGACCGCCGGTCCCGTCAGGCTGTGAGTCTCCGGTCACTAATTCAGCGTAACATCGCCTGCAGACACAGCCAATTCAGCTGCCCGGTGACTTTTATGGTACTACTAGCCTAGGTAGCACCTACTACGAGCCTAGGTAGAACCTAGTGGTAGACTAGGTAGGTACCTTCTGAG